TATATATATATATATTCCTTTTTGTGTCCTTGCTTCAATTGCGATTTGAGTCTGGGGAAAGTCTCACACGTTGTGTGCAGTCATCTCTGATCCGTTTACCAAGTAAGGACTGTGTCTCGGATTTATGCCCCCGTGGTATGAGAAACAGTGAAGGGATTTTTGGTGGCATCCCTGACTGCTCTTACCAACTCCGGATCGCAACGCAAGGTGCTCGAACTGTCGAGGCCCAAACTCTCCGACGCCCTGCGAACTTGGTGCCTGGAAGGAATTTCAGCAGGGTTCGAAAATGAAGGTACTCTTTCGATCCAGAGCGTTGCTGGGTGTGATATCTCCACGTCGCAACAAACTTGGCACATGGCTGCCATGCTGGGTGAATGCGAGGCGGCTTTAATGAGGCTGATTCTCAATCCAAGCAATGACCCTCCTGTTCAGAAGAGTGGCTCGGAGATCCCACCGGACGGCCACAAAAGCCCACAACTCGATCTGACAAATCACTTGATCCGATGTCTCAAGCCAGAGGTCCAGAAGGTCCTGAGGCACTTGGACTTCAAAGCACGAACTGAACCCGGTAGCCGTATCCACTATCACTGCACCGGCTGAGGCATGACCGTCCTCGAAGGCGCCGTCCGTGAATATGAGGAAAGGACTATCAGTGTCATTTAGATTATGAGATCGGGGTCCTAAAGCAACCAGGATGGTTCGGGCATAGCGGCACAAGGCTACCAGTTTATTGCTAGCTTCAGGGCTATGGTCGTCGGCTAAGGGTGCAAAGGCAGACACCAGCTGGCGGGCAGCGTTGGTCGAAAAGAAGCCACAAGCAAAGTTGAGGAGCCCTTGCGCTTCCGCCGCTTGGGCTCCCGTGACAATGCCACGCCTCTCTATTTCCTCCAGCAGCTCACAAATCTTCTCAATGCGCCCCGCCTTGTTGGCGACCTCAACTCCTGATGGAGCATGGTTCAGCGTGTAAGTCACTCCAAGCGCGTCAAACGCCAGGGCGAAGTCACTCGCTTTGTCGCCTTGCTTGGCGTATTGCCACCCAATAAATCCAGGATGGCCCCAAAAGAAAGAAAAAGCACTCTGGTCCCTGCTGTTCGCTCTATCGTTGGGAAGTCATCGAAGTAATGGGAGGTGATGGCCTTCAGCAACTTGGTGACGACAAACCATAAGGCCTGTGACACTCGGACAAACCCATATACACTACCCGTTGCCCCGAAAGGTAGTGCAATGGATCTATAGAATTGCCACGTGCCCCTGACTGGAAATCCTACCACTGCAAGGTGGGCGTGGTCAGGCATGATGGCCAGCTGCTTGTAGGCCTTGCTAAGGTCCAGGGTCCTCCCATGCCAAGTGTCCGACACGCCCTGTCGCTGCTGCTCCAACATGGCCGCCCGGATCATGGCTGCTATGTAGTCATTATCCTGCAGTTGCAACTTAAAGGTGGAAGAGTACGCAGTGTTCAGAGAGCTGGCTTTGGCATCATCGATCACTCGGACTTTGTTGAGTCTTTGGTGCAAGGCGAACCTCGGGTTCAGGAGCCACTTCTGATGGCCATAGAAACTATCCAGCTGAGACTCCGTGAAAGGCCCTTCCAAGAAACCAAGACCTACTTCCTTTTGAGCTGCCGCTGCCAACTCGTCCTCATCAGGAGGGGCTAGGTCCGACTTGGCCCCCATCACACTCTTCCTTCGCCACAGAGCTGATGCCTCAAGTTCACCTTGAGTCACCACTAACGGTCGGTATCCACCCGGAGCTTTCTGCATGCCCACAAGGGGGACACCCTTCACGAGAAGGTCGATCACCCCCAAGTCTTCTTATCCCAACTTCTTCAAGATGCGTTCAAAAAGGACAATATTCTTGGCCTTCGGTCGTTCCCGAAGTTGCGGGGCCATGCTGTCTTTCAGTTCTTTTTCTTTTGGTGCGAGTTCGTCAGCTAGCTTTCTAAGATTAAGCACGACTTGCAATCTTTGCTTTGCAAGAGTCACTGGGTCGGTCGTTATCACGTACTTGATGGCTTCATGAGTTGCTTCATGGATGAAGTGCTCAGTATCAATCGGACGCACGACCTGCCTGGCTTGTTCCAAGAATTCAGCTGCTTCTCTAAGGATGCCACACTTATACGTGCGCCTAACTCGAGATTTCTTCTGGGGGGTCTCCCCCTGGATTGGAAACACCAAAAGCTTGTAGGAGGGAAGGTCTATGGGTTGGTCTAAGTGAGCAAATTCCTTATATTCTTGCACTAATGGAGGATGTCGAATGGTCTGGGCCCCCAGGCTATATGTGAGGAGGACTTTCAAGCGTGGGTGCACTCGTGGGGTGAGCCCCAACTGGTGCACTGCTTCGCCAACGCAAGCAGCCATGCGTTTGGAGCAAGGCTGGGTATTCGGCTTCAGTGGCTGTGGGGTACACCATTCGGTTCCCTTGAGCAAAGGGGTCTAAGAGGCATGCTCATGTGAGTGGTCACAATCTAGAGGTGTGAACAACCCTGGAGAGGCTGGGATTTTGGTGCGTTTATCCCTCAAAATCCCCCACGCATGCACTGGTCGAAAATCACATGTTCCATGGTGGCTGCAAAGGCTTTCAAGGCGTGGTTGCAAGCCCTGAACATGTCAGCGAGGAGCGCCCACAGCCAAGAGCGATCTGGGTTTTCGACAGCGAAACTCCACCCTGCAAAAAAAAAACTCAGGTATTTGCCTTGCTTGTGGTCTTACTGGAATTTGTCCCCCAAGCCAAGCCCAGCAGCAGCAGGGCACGCCAATCATCGTGCCAGAGAACTGCGAATTGCATGTTGGGGATAAGACCTTGCGCAAACGTTTCAACGTGGGTAGGTGCAAGGCGAAAATCCGACCAGGGAAGAGGTGCGTGATCGGCTGGCGTTTGTGTTGGAAGAAGGATTGTCACAAGGCGCATCCAGGGAGCGAATGCCCCCTGTGACTGGCGTCGCGAGATTTCGAAAGCGATGCATAAGCCAAACAGCCTCTTTGAGTAGGAAACAAATAATGACCCCATGATGCAGTACTGAGTGCAAAGGCTGAATTTCATTGCCCATCGTTTCACCTTGTTTCACCCTTTTCTACTGGCTGACTTGAGGTACGAACCTTGCCTCCGTTTCGGGTGGGTTTGGTTTTGTTGTTGTTTTGTGTTGTCTTTTCTGGTTTTTCGGTTTGCCGCTTGGTTCGTATCTCTCTTGTCACCAGCCTAAGGTGACTTGTGCATCCTCTGCACACATAGCGCCTCGACCCGTGCAAAAAAACCCTGTGACTAGCGTCGCAGCCGAGCCCAGATCTTAATTCGAACCAGCTCACTTGCACAGTCATGGAGGTGTGCTGTGGATCTGCAAGTTTTTCTGACGCTGTTCGTTTCACTGTTTTCCAATCGATCACCAAGCAAATCGTCATCGCACCAGGTTAAGCCAGTCGCCTTGACCTGACCATAGACCATGTGAGCATCTTCAAGCAACTGTGCTCTCACACCAAGCCGTGTTTATTTTTTTGTGGATTTCCATGTGGCACCTGTAGCCGAGCCAGGGACAAATGCCTCCCTGGTCACCTCGGTCATGGGCACGGACCTCCACCACTTCGTGATGAGCAGCACGTGTGGGGCCTTCCAAACTTGTCACCAACCAACCAATGGAAAGTTTCGCAGGCAAATAAGATTTACAAATTGGCATTGTGGTTTTGTCACAAGACAGGGTGCCTAGACGCCTTTTTTTTGCACGAGTCGAGGCGCTATGTGTGCAGGTTCTGCACAAGTCACCTTGGTCGAGATAAGAAGGAGTTACTACACAGGTTGCAAACCAAACAGACGAAACAAACACCCAAACACCCACCAAACCAAAACCAAAAACACCAAAGGGAGGGAAGCAACCTGTTGCGCAACTCATGTGGCCACGTAAGCCGCGAGAAAGAAGGTGAGAC